TATATATATAAAAGGAAATACTAAGCTGGGCGCATGTGTTTAATCTCAGCACTTGGGAGGCAGAGGCAGACAGATCTCTATAAGGTCTAGGCCAGCCTGGTCTCCACAGTGAGTTCTAGGACAGCTGTGGCTACAGGGAGACCCTATCTCAAAAAGACAAAAAAGAAAAACTAAATATACAGAACGCAGAAAGTATGCTGAATGTGGCAAGAGAAATACCAAGCTAAAATAACAGATTATTCAACTGAAGCTTTACAAGCCAGAAGGGCATGGGATGATGTATTTCAAGTTCTAAAAGACAACTGCCAACCCAGACTACTATATTCAGCAAAGCTATCAATTATAATTAAAGGAAAAGTGGAAACGTTCCGTGATAACAATAGAATAAAAGGAATTTATGACCAGTAAATCAGGTCTACCAAAGATACCTGAAGTCTTTGGACTAGAGAATAAAAAAAAAAACAAATGCGATCCATCTATGATGCCACATCAAAGAACAAAGCACTACAGTGAAGCAAGAGAGGAAGGGGAACAGCAACCACCACAAAATTAACAAAACGACAGGAATCAGCACACCTTTCAATAATAACTCTGAATATTAATGGTCTCAATTCTCCAATCAAAAAACAGACAAGGAGATTGGATGAAAAAGCAGGAACCATCTATCTGCTGCCTCCAAGAAACAAACGTCAACCTCAAGCTGGGCATGGTGGCACATGCCTTTAATCTCAGCACTCTGGAGGCAGAGGTAGAGGTAAGCAGATCTCTAAAAGACTGAAGCCAGCCTTGTCTACATGGCAAGTTCCCAGCTGGGGCTACAGGGAGAACCAGTCTCAAAAAGACAACAACAAAAAAAAAAAGTGAATTTTTAGATATTCATGTTTCAACTGGAAAATCAAGAGAAGTCAGGAAACAAAGAGTGAAGGGGGAGCTTCAAGGGATAGGGGATAGAATGTAGTGATGTAAACGGGGAAAAGGGAGTAATATAGTATGAAGGAGTCAATTGGGGTGGGAATGGGAGGGCAGGGCAGAGGACAGAGTATGGGGAGGGATAACTAACACTCAAGGCCTTTAGAAAAAGTCATACGGAAGCCTACCACTATAGAAGCATCTCAACACACACACACACACACACACACACACACACACACACACACACACACACTATAAAAGGAGAGTAAAAGGAATTTAACCTTATAACAGGGGGACAGTGTTCCTACTAGACACCATAGGCTAACAAAGTAAAATCTGGACTCCCTCTTTTGAAGCTGTTGGCTAGGGGCCAGAAGAAAAAGTAATCATTAACCTTACATAGCTGTAAATCCTGTGTGCTTCAACAACTAGCCTGGCAAGATATGCTATTTGGTGCAATACTGGCATGAATATCATGAGAGTAACCAATCACTTCCTAATTTGATTTAAGGTCTGCTTCATAAGATGGAGCCCATAACTGATATTATTAGGCCTAGGAACATAGCAGAAGGAGAGAGCAGACTCCCACAAACTGTCCCAACCCAGGACATGTGCCATGATGTACACATATACACTCATGCACATATATAAAAAAAAAAATTTAAAAAGAGAAATCTCAAATAACTAACTTAATGATATACCTTCAGGCCCTTGGGTGAAAAACACAAGCCAGGGGCTGGAGAGATGGCTCAGTGGTTAAGAATACTGGTTGTTCTTGCAGAAGACCCGGGTTCAAATCCCAGCACCCACATGGCAGCTAACAACTGTCAGTAACTCCAGTTCCAGGGGATCCAACAGCCTCTTCTGACCTCCTCAGGCACTGCACAACACGGGTGCACTTACCTACATGCAGGCATAACACTCATACACATAAAATAAAACACATAGAAAAAAAATAATTAACATCAGTGGAATAAATGAATGAAATGGAAACAAACTAACCAAAACTGAGTACAACGAATCAATGAAACAAAGAGTTGGTTTACAAAGATAAACAAGATTGACAAACCCTTAGCCAAGCTAAACAAGAGAGAGAGAGAGAGAGAGAGAGAGAGAGAGAGAGAGACCTAAATTACTAAAAGTCCAGGCCCAGATGGAATCACTGGTGAATTTTACCAGACCTTCAAAGAATGAATACCAAACTTTTCAAACAATTCTACAAAACAGAAAAGGAAGGAGCACTACTGAACTCTTTTTATGAAGCTAGTGTTACCTGGGTACCCAAAGCTGATAAAGACACAACGACAAAATCACAGACCAATTATCCTGATGAACACAGATGCCAAAATTCTCAACAAAACATTTGCACATGGAATTCAAGAACACAGAAAAACTCCCCTCCCCAAGAATATGTGATTAACAATTGTTCATACTCTTATAAGTAAAAGTAACCCCTATTAAACTCATTGGTACACACACACACACACACACACACACACCAGAAAGATTGTTCACCATGATCAAGTTGGCTTTATTCCAGAGATGCTGAGATGGTTCAACATTTGTAAATCAATAAATGCTATAAATTTCATAAGTGGATGCAAGAATAGAAATCACATGGCCATCTCAATAGATGCAGAAAAGGCTTTTGACAAAATACCTTCATGCTAAAAGCCCTGAAGGAATTCAGAACAAAAGGAATAATAACAATAAAATAATAAAAGCTATATATGACAAACATTATGCCCAACATGTATATATGTGATATATATACAGATAGAGAGCGAAAATAATGTTGATGAATGCAATCTTATTATTGTCTTCAATTGCAATCCTAGTGTCTTCAACTGAGGAAGATATCTACACATAAGAGAATGAAACTAGATCCTTATCTCTTACTCTGCATAAAAGTAAACTCAAAATAGATCAAAGATCACAACATAAGACCGGAAACTCTGAAATTGCTAGAGGAAAAGTTAGAGAATATACTTCAAGATAGAGGCATAGCACCTTTAATCCC